TTCACAGTAAGTACTTCCGAATTACTGAATAATAACGTTCAATAGGGAGGGAACAAGCGTTAGGAATAAGTTGGTATCACATAGTGATTGATAATTTCTATTTCAAGATTTTCTAATAGTGAACCATTTTCACAGAATTTGGGATATATCTAACTTGTTTATAGAATTAATTTGCGATGTTTTGTGAGTGGGCATGTGTGAAGTTTTCTGCTTTTGTTATATATCTATCTAATTTTCTTAGTGTCATTGCTGAGCAGGCTAGTAACATGAGTTAGGATTATTCCTGCTTTTTCTGTTGTCTTTAAGGGTTTGCTTAAGACTGGAATGAATAAAATTGGAATCCGCTTGTAAACCCAACAGGGCCTAGTGTTTTGGGAGAACTTTAGCACTGTTTCTATTTCTTTAATAGTGCATGTTGAGCATCCTTAATCTGAAAATCCAAAATACTCTGAAATTGAAAACTTTTTGAGTAATGCATGATACCCAAGAAGTTTGAGATTTTCAGATTAAGGTTGCTCAACCAATAAAGCCTATGCAAATATTCTAAAAACTGAAAAACTCAATTCTAGAACACTTCTGGTCCCAACCATTTCAGATAAGAGTTACTTTTCCTGTGATAGCTTTCTAAGCTTCCAATTTTTTCTTGTGTTAGTTGTGGTAAGTTACTTTTTAAGAGATTTGTTCATTTTGCAAACCAAATCTTTTTAAAATTATGGACATATGGTTGGATTCTCTTTTTAACATCTACAGTTGTATCCCACATTTAATTAATTATTGTTTGTTTTCTAACTTCTTAAATTATTCTTGCCAGAGTTTTGCCTATTTAAACCTACTTTGGGGGCCAGGGATTTAGCTCAGTGGTGCTGTGCCTGCCTCGCAAGCACAAGATCCTGAGTTCAATCCTCAGTACCCCCCCCAAAAAAAACTTTGGGTTTTGCTGATACTATTATATATTTGATTTCCAAATGATTAATCTCTGCTATGATTTTATCTTTTCTCCTATGGGATGCATGGAGATTTAATTGCAAATAGTTTTAGATTTTGCTTATGATTTCCTTTTTCTTTCTTTTTTTTTTTTTTTTTTTTTTTTTTTTTTTTTTGGTACTGGGGATCGAACTCAGGATCTTGTGCTTGCGAGGCACGCACAGCGCCACTGAGCTAAATCCCAGCCTTATGATTTCTTTTTTAATCCATGGATTATTAGCAGTGTTTTGGAAATTTTCAAGTAGGTGAGGAATTTTTTAAAGTAATTTTTATTATTAACTCTTAGTTTAATTACATATTGGTCCCAGATCATGATCTGTGATGTTACTGAAAAATTTTTGAGGCTTTCTTTATGGGCTAGTACATGATTTTTTAAACAATCTTTGACACTTTCTTAAGGTTATTCTACTTGTTGAATATGGAATTCAAGCTTAGTTATTGTGTGGTTCAGATCTTATGTATTTGTTTATTTTAATTTGGGGGCATACTTGATCTATCAATAAATGAGAAAAACAGTGTATGAAAACACTCCTTAGTTTTTTTCTATTTTATTTAACTGTGCTGGGAATTGAACCCAGGGCCTCAGTCGTGCTAGGCAAGTGGTATACCACTAAACTGTAATCCCAGCCCCTTTCCTTAGGTTTTAGTCCCTCAGTTGTAGGGGTTTGACAGAGTCATGGAGGGGAAGTAGCTTCCCTAGATAGTCTCCCTGTTCTTCGTAGCTCTCCACCAACACAGTGTTTTTGTCCTAACCTGAAATTACACCCAAGGAATTCTGGACCAGTGGTCTGAGTCCCAGAAGGTGTGGGGAAGAGATGTTTATCTTGAGATTTGTGAGAGAAGCAAGAGCAGAAATCTCAGCAGTTCCTCTTTTTTTAAATTTTTCTGATACCAGGGATCAAACTTGGGTCTTTGCACTTGCAAGGCAGGCAGCGGCACCACTGAGCTAAATCCCCAGCCCTCAGAGGTTCCTTTTTTATTTCATCCTCCCACACACTACTATAGGAGTTTCTCATATTTTCCCCTTTCTTGGATTTTTAAAACTTGGTTCATTTGAGGCTGAGTATGGGCAATTGAGCCAGCAGCTATGTTAGTTTAGCATCTTGGGAGAGGCCAAACTGGAACACTTTATCTTTGTATTTATGGGTCACCTATAAAGTCCAAGAAATGGAATTCCTTGAACACCTCTTCTTACATTAAATTTACTTTGCCGCCTGTATTTTTTGTTCTGTGTGTGCCACCACTAGAATTGAATCATTAGGCTAGGGAATTATCATTTCCCTAAGAGAAATCTTGTTTGACTCTTCTACCTTACCTCCTATAGCCATTGAAGTACCAAATCTGGTTCTTTCCTCAATATTTCTCAAATTCATCCCTTCTTCCTCTTCCCTCTAACTACTGCTCTTGTTCCAGCTCTTTCTGGATCTGCCTCTCAAATTCGTGTTCCATTGTTCCTTATTCTTATCATAATAATCTTCCTGAAATATAAATTTAGCTTATTTAACATGTTCACAACAGGGCCGAAATCCATATGTCTTGCTGCCAAGTGGCTCTGAACCACCCAGTGGTCAACGACAGTCATGCATGCGCCATTGGGGCTTCAAGCTGGCAGGAATGTGTTAAAATTTTTTGTGGCTCCCTATTACCCATAAGTAACTCCCTATCACCCTTAGCTTTATAATTTGGCCCCTGCCTACCTCTCTATCTTTGCAATATCTACTACCATTGTGATAGCACTGGTAATCCCAGACCACTTTATTTTCCTCCTGCTTCCTGGAAATTTTTACTTAATTTGTCTGATGTAGGGAGGAAAGCTGGCTATTCCTTTGACCTGGTAAACTCTAACTTATTCATCCTTACTTTGTGTAGGAAGTCGTCTGTCCTCTCCAGGTATCCTACTTCTGTATTGCTAGAATATTCTCAGCATTCTGATTACATGATTTAAATTATTTATTCAGGTAAGTATTTACTTTCTTTAGGGAGAGAGCTGATCATATTTATTTTAGTGCCTAAAACAATGTCTGGCTTATATTAAATGTTCAAATGTTGTTTCATTGACTAAAGATCCAGAAAGTTAAACATTTTCAGGATCATGATGCTCATAGGTAACAAAATTGAGGCTGGAAACCAAGGACCTCTTTCGTTTCCTCACGATACAGACCAGTACTCCCCCTAGCACATCATATAAAACTAAGTAAATACAGTATTTATTGTGCATTACTGAATAAATCACTTTAAGCTAGTTTGATAATGATTAAAGTAATTACATTTTGCTTTGTAAATAATCAAATTTTATGTACTATATCTGTGGGAGCCTGTTTCTTGTACATAGTTTTTTATAAAATTTATACATTCACAAACAGTTCAAGAAGATTAAAGCATCATTAGAAAGAAATCAGAATGGCCTTTTAGTGACTAGACAGATTGATCCAACCCAGGGCTTCAAGCATGTTAAGTACACAGTCTACCACTCAGCTACATCCCCAGCCCTGGTGACTGTATTTTGATCAGTTAAAATTAAAAAATTAATGTGTCAGATTCAGAGCATGCTGTTTAAAAGATTCTGTGAGCAGGGCCAGGGATTTAGCTCAGTGGTGCCACCACCTGTCTGGCAAGAGCAAGGTCCTGAGTTTGATCCCTGGTACCAAAAAAGGTGGGGGGGATTATGTGAGCTACTGTTTAAACTACCTAAGGAAGGAAGTAGTAAAATTTTAAATAATTACACTGTAAGCATAACTTAATAAATGTTTGAATCAAATTTGTAGATGCAAACACTAACACGAGTCTTACCCATTTTCTGTGTCATATTGTAGATATCAGTTAGGGTATAGGAATAGGCTCATCTGTTGATTTGTGCAAGGATAGAGAAATGTGTTTGGTCTGGGTTTATTTTCAGTATCAAAATTGTTTAAAGTAAAAGTTTTAAAGGTGAAGCATTATGAAAAAGCAAAAGCAAAATACACGAAAAGAAAAAAGCATCAGAAAGCTAGATGAATATATAGAATGAGTGGAATTTTCTTAGATATTTTATTAGTGATGATGAAAAAATATATTTTGACCCTGTGTGCCACATAATTTTTTATTATACAACCCAAATACACTAAAGCCTGCTGACAGTAGCAATGATGCTGTGTTACCTGGGTTAACTCACGAGGAGACTCCAACCTTAATGTCACAGAGGCTGCCTTTTAGTTGTTATGTTTTGTTTGAGACAAAGTCTTTGTAGCCCAGGCTAACCTTGTACTTGAGACCCTCCTGCTTCATCCTCCCAAGTAGTTGGGATTACACATACAGCCCTGCTTTCTAGCTGTATATGCGCAGAAATGAAATTTGATAGGTGAGAAAGTGGATTTCTCTCATGGGAGTTGAATATATATTCAGCAAGATTATAAGTCTTATAATAGATATAATTGTCAAAGAAACTGGACACTTTAGTCCTCCAGGTGCATATTTTCTTACTGTAGATATGCCACATACTAAGCTTATAATATTATTTATTTTTGGTATCAGGGATCAAATTCAGGATCTTGTGCTTGCCAGGCAGGTGCAGAGCCACTGAGCTAAATCCCAAGCCCTAGGCTTATAGTTTTTAAACAATTAAAATGTTTAATTGATAAATTCCTTTCCCCCCTATAACTACAATGCTATCCTCCACCTAACAAAATGAAAAGTTCCTTAATATTTATGTGATATGCTGTGGAGTATATGTGTTATTTCCCCAGTCACCTCAAAAATTTTTCATAGCTGTATGTTTGAAGTAAGATCCAAACAATGTCTACATATTGTATTTGGTGGATATGTCTTTGAGCCTTTACATGTGACAGTTTCTTCTCCCTTTTTCATCCTTTATGACTTTTATGTATTGGGAGAAAAAAATGTCCTGTTTTTTTCTTACTATGTTGCAAAGATTAAGAACTTATTTTGCTCTAAGAATTGTACCTGACACTCAATGGGCACTTAATTGATTTTGTTGGATAATGTTAATAATACTCAAGGTCTGTGCTTTGTCCCTGCAGGTTGATATAAAAGACTACATGTTCAATGGGCTGAAAGATGAAACAGTAGGTCGCTTACCTGGGAAAGTGGCAGGACAACAATTTTTCATTCAAGACTGTGAGAACTGCAACATCTATATTTTTGATCACTCTGCTGCAGTTACCATCGATGACTGTACTAACTGCATAATTTTTCTGGGACCTGTGAAAGGCAGTGTGTTTTTCCGGAATTGCAGAGATTGCAAGTGCACATTAGCTTGCCAACAGTTTCGTGTTCGGGATTGCAGAAAGCTGGAAGTCTTTTTGTGCTGCGCCACTCAACCCATTATTGAGTCATCTACAAATATCAAATTTGGCTGTTTTCAGTGGTACTACCCTGAATTAGCTTCCCAGTTCAAAGATGCAGGGCTAAGTATCTTCAATAACACGTGGAGTAATATTCATGACTTTACGCCTGTGTCAGGAGAACTCAACTGGAGCCTTCTTCCAGAAAATACCGTGGTTCAGGACTATGTTCCTATTCCTACTGCTGAAGAATTCAGAGCTGTTCGTGTTTCCACAGAAGCCAATAGAAGCATCGTTCCCATATCATGGGGTCAGAGACAGAAGAACAGTGATGAATCATGCTTAGTGGTATTATTTGCTGGTGATTATACTATTGCAAATGCCAGGAAACTAATTGATGAGGTAAGGAGAGAGAAAAGAGAAATAGGTTTACCCTTGGAAAGAAACATCCAACTCTAGGGAACTTCCATTCTTTCAAAATTGACTGTTAGAAATACTGGCAATCCTAAGTTGTAGTCCCCGCTTCACAAGACTGATCTGTATGTAGGTTAGCTGGGCCTCAAAATATTTTCACAGGGAATCTTTAAAAAAATATAATTTGGGGCCAGGCATGGTGGTACACACCTATAATCTGAGCATTCAGGAGGCTGAGGCAGGAGAATTGCCATGAGTTAAAGGCCAGGCTGCTTTAAGGCCACCCAGACCTACACAGAAAGACCCTGTCTGAAAGAAACAAAAAAAATATATGTATATAGATACATACTTCAATTCAGTAAGAATTTTTTAAGCACTGATTATGTACAAGTTATTGCTACCATATTTCATGGATGGTATAATATACAGTTGCTTTTCACATTTTTGCTTAAATGCAACTTGTAATTGATTGCAACTTACAAATAATAGACTATAGACTACAACCAGATATAGTGTCGCAGCCTGTAAACCCAGCATTCTGTGAGGCTGAGGCAGGATGATCACAATTTCAAGCCTAGCATGGGCAGCTTAGCAACTTAATGAGACCCTGTCTCAAAGAAAAATTTAAAAAGGCTGGGTATTTAGGTTAGTGTGAAGGCCCTGAGTTCAATCCCCAGTACTGCAATCAATTAGTGATTCAATCAGTAAAAACAATGAACTATAACATGTGCTGGAGATGGAGATAAATAGACAAAATTCTAGGCCCTGAATGAATTTGTATTCTTTATAATAAATGATTTCCATAGATGCTCAAAGAAGTTGTACTACATAGTAAAGCATTACCTTTTATAATTATTTACTAGAGAAATATCTTTGGAGTTTTAATTGGTGAGGGGATAGAAACGACATTGAGGAATGAACCTTTTGGACCCTGTTGTGACTTAAAGATGGTCTCTACTGTGTTTCTGATTTTCTGCTGCCCTGTTGCCACAGAGGGGTGGTTATGGAAATGTAAGATGGGAGTCAGGATGGCAAATGTTATAATAGGCTTATGAGCAGTGGCTCCTGGTAAGCTCAGAAGTAGAGTTCTTTGGATATCAGCTTCACTTGAAAAATAACTGGTGTCAGAAAGGCTCCAGAAGCATCAGTTGTTTTGTTAGTGGGTGTCCATTAGGGAGACAGCAGCAGGATGTATTGATTACCCATTAATCATTTCCTCAGGAGGAATTTGTTTGAATTGAAAAATCAAACTTCCAGAAATGGAGAAGTAGATGAAAAGCTCAAGTCTCTTATTGAAGGGATTATAGAAAAAGTTGGAAGATATCAAAAGGAACAGTTTTGGAAAGAAACTAAAAAATGGCAACCTCTCTATAGCTATACATTTTATATTGTAGAAAACCTGTGTCTAAAATTAATGAATTAAAAAAAAGAAAACCTGTGTCTGAAATGTAGAAAGTATATCTGAGGTAGTTTTCAAGGCAAAAGTATAATTTCATTCCCGATATTTTCTTTTGTGATTATGCCAATATAATAATCACATGTTATAAATCTGGTAAGGTATAGGAAAATATGCTTCTGGCCTTTCTAGCTATCTAATCACATGTTAATCCAACATTGGAGAGGTATACACATTCATTGTACTACATGATGATTTTTTAAAAGAATCTATGAAATAGTTTTTAAAAGATTAAATTTTCAGGTTAAACTCCTTGGTAGATAATCAGGAGTGATCATAAAAAATATTTAACATGTTACAGAAAAAAGCTATCAAGAATCATCTAATGTCCTTAGCCTTAAAACCTCTGGTATGTGATTGTGCAATGGCAGTGCTGTGTTCTCTTAAAAGAAATATAGCCAGGAAGAGTGATATTCTTTAGATGACTTTCTGGAATATAATAGCAAAAATCCCACAATACTACTAATAATAGCTAATACATAGTGTTTATGTAAGAAATTGTAAGGGATTTAAATGAATTAACTAAACGTTTAAAACAACCCTAAGAAACAGATGCTATTATTCCCCTTTTGACAGATAAGGAAAATGAATCACAGGGTAACTTGCAAAAGGTCACTCAGCCGGTAAACAACAAAGATGTGATTCATATCTAGGTAGTCTGGCTCCATATTTAACCCTTAAATATGATGCTGTTACACTGCCTCAGTGGTGAAGGAAAGTTAATGCTTCCCTGGTGGAGCAGGAATTGTGACCAAAAGTATGTGGAGTCAAGAGCCCTCCAACCTAGAGACTCTTTGGCTAGAGCTATTTAATTCTGAAATTACAGAAACAAGGAATAAAAGAGAAAAGAAAGAAAAAAAATGCCAAGTACATGTGAAAAGAAGATCCAAACATGCTAAAAGACTTACATATTATGTTAAGAGATTACTTCCCAGGGAAATATGTGTAGAAACTAGTTAATTCTGAGTTGGAAAAGAAAACGAATCTTTCTCTATCATTAAGTCAAGTATCTTATGACAGCTTAGACTGGAAATGTGATTGCAAACTCTAGCTTTGTTAAATCCCAGGATTACCACAGAATTTTATTTCACATTGTTTTTATAAATAAACATATCATGATGTTTTCTCAAATATAAAATTTGAAAAGATAAGAATCCTGGAAAGGCTGGATACTACAAAAAGCACATTCCATACAGAGTCAAGAAAAGTTATTGGGCCTTGATTTCTCACCTGAAAGTCAGATAACTTGCTTGCTCTTATAAAAATTACAGATGTACACAGGATAAATTAAAGTAGTTTGAACTATTTGAATTATTTAAATTCAGTAGTTAGCATTATTTTTAAGTCTTTAGAAATGGAAAAATTTTATGGAAAGAAGTTATTCAGATATTTTCAGTGATATATTAAAATATAGTTTCATAGCTCATTTTAGATATTTTAAATTGATCAAAATTTTATCAGTTTATACATTTGACCATAAAATGATAGTTGAGAAGCAGTACAGTAAATTAGAAATGGAATTAGGATTGTTTCTGCTCTTTTAAGTAACTTTATAGTCATCATCTCGTAGTGATGACCATGTAGTTTCCTGCAATTATTAAATGTATGTTTCTTTTTTCTGAGATAGCATTGAGTGAGAATTCTGAAAGACTTACAAGTTTGAGCCAGTATGATTAAATGGTATGGAATAATGTAACCATAGGATGAAATACCTCCAGCCACTAAAAGTGATTTTTTTTCTTGGGACCGGGCATGAACTCAGGACCTTGTGCTTGCAAGAGAGGTGGAAGCACCACTAAGCTAAATCCCTGGCCCTAAAAGTGATTTTATAGTGGAGTGGTTGGAAAATATTCACAAGGAAAAATTTGTAAAATAGTACATAACTGATTTTTTAAAAAATTAGGTGTCTGTAATGTTATATATACTAAAATATTAGCAATTGTAGTTATTCTTAGGAAGTTTATTAATAGCAGAGTTTTCTTTTTTTGTAGCTCTGGATTTTAAAAAGAACATGCATTATTTCTGTAATGAAGGACAAAGAAAACTAGGGGTGGGTAAAAGTATGTATACCTATGTGACACTGGACAGTGGCATCTTTGCTAGCATGTTGGTTGATATTTCTTTGTTTCTACTTTTTATTTTTCAAATGTGTATGTGTATGTGTGTATCTTTATCAGAGTCCACCAAAAAACATGTAAACACTTCAGCAGTTTGCCTTACTAATAAATGTCTGGAAGCTAATGGCCACCACTTTGGGCACCTCTTGTAATTGTAGAGGCCAAAGGTAACTTGTGTTAATCTCATGATGTCTCAATAAATTTAGTATTAAAATACTTATATAGGGCCAGGGGTTTAGCACAGTGGTTCCTCTACCTGCCTTGCAAGTGCAAGGACCCGAGTTTGATCCCCGCACACACACACACACACACACACACACACACACACACACACACACCTTTTTATTTTCCTGATGTGTACTTTTTTGGCGGTCTTGCTCATTCTATATGTGTGTGTGCCTGTGTATATCTTTTTATTATTAAACCTAGTAAGCTTTGCTTGCTTTGCATTGTTAAAAACAAACTTACTGTCATAATTATTTTTTAAATTAGTATATTTTATAGTTAACTATAAAGAATAGTAAATATAAATTTTTTAATCATTCATAATTGTTCCTTAAACAGTCTTTTAGAAATAATATTTAGAATTTATTTAGTCTGTAATCAGATGAATTGGGTTCAAATCCTAGCTGTTACTCAATAGTTCTGTAACCTTGAGCAAAAGTCTTAACAACTTTATCTCTTTGTTATCTCATCCATACAATGAATACCTATATCATGAACCGGCTAAGTGTATTATGCATGTAAAGTGCATAAAATTTCTTGGTAAATAGTACTCCATAAATTTGACCTATTATTGTGCTATACTGTACAAATTTGTACTATACCTTCTAAAATTACAATTATTACATAAAATTCCTCCCACTTTATTATATTTTTGTTATATTTAATGAACTATGATAAATGTAATTATGGTATCTCATCATGTAAAATACCGTAATTACTTAATCATTCAAGACAAAATTAAATTATGTTTTCTTTATTTTTCTCCAGCACTGGAGATTGAACATAGGGCCTTTGCATTGAGTCCTCCTGAGCCCTTTATTTTTTATTTTAGGTCTCACTAGGTCACTAAATTGCCCAGCCGGGGCTGGAATTTACAGTCCTCCTGCCTCACTCTCCCAGAGTGCTGGGATTACTGGCATGTACCACAATACCCACCTTAATTATGTTTTAAATTGAGGAATGATAAACATTTAATATTTGACTTAATCTTAACAGTAGGCCTTAGAGTACTAATTCTTTTTATAATTTTTTTATTTTATTAGTATGTTTGCAATTCATGAAGTTTACAGTCTTCTTGGGGAGTGGTTACATGTACATATTACAGCTTCTTTTCTTTAATCCCCTTCCTTTTCCTTCCCCCAGTTCCCCTATCCTCTACCCCTTTTTGTACTTGTTGATTTTATTTGTCTTAGCTCGTGTTATGGCACATAGTGTTACAGTCATTGAGATTATTAGGGGTCCTATACATGGCACATCTTCATTCCTCTCATTTCCTCTTCCCCTCCTCCTCAACCCTCGCCCTGACCCCTTGGACCAACTCCCTATTGCAAGCGATCCATTCCCTTGTCCCCTTCTATCCATCCTTTATCATTTTCTTTCTTTATACTTTGCATCACTCAAATGAGAGATACTTATGGTATTTAAGCTTGTGTGTGATGTATTTTACTCAACATTATATTTTCCAATAAATGTCTCAAGTGTGTCATTCTTTATAGCCAAGTAGCACTCCATTATGTATAGATAACAAATTTTCTTTATGCAGTCACCTGTCAATGAATATATAAGCTGCTTACAGGATTTAGCTGTCATGAATTGTGCTCCTGAGCAGCCCTATTTTCTCTGCCAGGTGGGCCACCTCCTCTGTATCACTCAATCCTACTTTTTTCTCCTGTCACTTCCCTTGTGGTTCTCATATACTGTCCTGTAACTTCTGTTCCTCTCCAAGCCACTGAACTCCAGACTCCAAACACCTCGTTCTGGAGAAGCTGAGTCACTGGCATTCACTGCTGTGCCATTTTGTCCCTGCGGTACTAATTCTTAACCAGAACCACCCATCTGTAAGAATGAATCTTGACAGTGGTACCTCAGTTCATGAACTTGATTCTTTCCATGATACTGGTCACAAACTGAGTTGGATGAGAACCAAATCAAATTCAGTGGGTAGGTTCAAATGTTGACCTTATGGGGAAATTTGATTCTGTTCTCATCCAGTTTGGTTTGTGACCAGAATCATGGAGAGAATTGAATTCGTGAAATGAGGAACCTTTATATGTGAGAACGTGTTATTGCAAATGCCTTTAGAGTTTTAAAAAATAAAACAAAACCCAATACGCTATGTCGAATTTTATATGGAAAAATGCTTGAATAGGATAACATTGTTTTTAATCTCAGATGTTTATTTTAAAATCTAAATGAAATTTTATTTTCCACAGATGGTTGGTAAAGACTTTTTCCTAGTTCAGACAAAGGAAGTGTCCATGAAAGCTGAAGATGCAAAAAGGGTTTTTCGGGAAAAAGCACCCGACTTCCTTCCCCTTCTGAACAAAGGTAACTTCTGGATGATTGATATGTTTCTGTGGTTATTTTCTTGACATTCTGATTTGATTTATTCTTACTTTAACATTTCTCTTACTTTGTCTTATTTGTTCTATGTTTTTCCTATTACTGTTTAGAAATGTCAAAATTTCACATCATGCAAGAAGTCCTACATAACTGACTAGAAATTAGGCATTAGTTTTTTCCTTGTTCTGTATTATTATTTAAAGGTCACATGTTTTATTTTTAATTATTGTTGGGCTTTGTACTGAAATGAGTTAACATTTTATACTCCCTTCCTGGAGTTGCAGAGCACTTCATAAAGATGTGCTTTGACCATACTGAGAAATAAGAAATAAAAATTTTTGGGGGGTGTCGGGGATTGAACTCGGGTCCTTGCACTTATAAGGCAGGAGGCAGAACCACTGAGCCAGATTCCCAGCCCAAGAAATATAAATAAAGTGATATACTATATTATGTATTTCATATGATTGGTTAACTTCCCATGTAGAATTAGAATTTCCCCAATAAGTTTCACCAGTAAGTTTCAGATACTGGTATATGTCTGCAAAAGAGGAACTGGAGTTTATTGTACCCTCCTGAAGGGGTGCTGTCTGCCTATCTGTATGTGATGGTATAGTGACTCTAGAGGGCAGAGTACTGTTTGCCTGCTCAGAGTGGGGGTGTTGTTTGCTCAAGGCTAAATTTTAATTTAAAAAATCCAAGCCTTTATACTTCCCACAGCTTTCAGAAATAGAATCAAGTAGTAAGTGTAATGGACATCTTAAAGTGTGAGTGTTAGAAATGAACAGATGAGGTCTAAATTAATGATTTATATACTTGTGTGATGTTAATGAAGTAGTACCATTGTATTACTGCAACCCAAATAATAGTATCTGCATTTAAGTAACAGTGTTCCACATGCAAGTAGTATAATGTTTTGCTACTGCAAAACCTGGAACTAAAACAGAGCTTATAGCAATTTCAGGAAATAAAAATAATAAAAACAGGTCTTAAACACCAAAGAAGTGACAAGATAAAAAGAGAAAGGTTGAAGAAAAAACTGGAAACAAAGCTTTCCTACATGAGGGAAGGGGGGATGGAGAAAAAAGCATCAAGATATATCATGTACTGGTACAAATACCCTATGATGAATGTTATCATTATGTATATCTAAAATGTACCAATAAAGGTTTTGCTAAAACATAAAATAAAAAAATAAAAACACAGAAAGATACCCAAAGATTGATGAAGTCATGTCAGAAAGTCACAAGAGCCAGGTTGATGGAGTTTTCACCTGACAAATTTGGGCACAGTTTGACCATCACAGGGCCGAGTATTTAGCTCAGTGGTTCTGCTGCCTGCCTTGCAAGCACAAGGACCCGAGTTTGATCCCTGGTACCAAAAAAAAAGTAACAATTTGACCATCACAAAGAATGATGGAAGCTGGAGGATGTAGCTCAGTAGTAGAACATTTTCATAGCATGTTTAAAACCGAGCACCAGAGAGAGAGGGAGAGGGCGAGGGAGAGGGCGAGGGAGAGGGAGAGGGAGAGACAGAAGAGAGGATGAGGAGGAGAAAGGGTAGGGGAAGGGGAGTAGAAAAACAAGAAAAATAAAGGTAACTACAACAGAAACCCAAGCTTCCGTGGTGATACAGAAAGGAGAGGAGGAAATAAAGGAACACTCCTCTGCTGTTTATAGAATATTGTGAGCTAATAAATGTGCAAGAAATGGTAGACTTTGGAAATCAGTATTTTCCAACCTCCTCGTAATAATCATTTCATACAAAAGTTATCAGTAGATGCTAAAACTATTGAAAAGTTGCTAAGATATCCATACATTCTAATTCAGAGAGGGAACGTATCTTTGTTTGTTTGTTTGTTTTTTGAGACAGGGTCTCACTATGTAGTTGAGACTGACCTGGAACTATGTAGCCCAGGCTGGTCTCAAACTCAGCGATCCTACTGCCTCAGTCTCCTGAGTGCTGGGATTACAGGCCTGTGCCACCACTCCTGGCCACTATCTTTACAGCAGTGATCTTGTGATAACTATTATTAACACAGTGATCAAACTTAGTGTCAGTGATGAGTAGCCTGACATTGTTTCTTCTGATGAGCTGCAGTGAGAACTACACCACATTACTTGTGAAGTATTCTTGCTAAAAATATTTCACTAAAAACTAATTGAGCCAAAAAGAAAAACTTTTTTTTTGGTTTTTTGAGACAGGGTTTCACTATGTAGTTGAAACTGACCTGGAACTGTGTAGTCCAGGCTGGTCTCGAACTCAGCGATCCTCCTGCCTCAGCTTCCTGAGTGCTGGGATTACAGGCGTGCGCCACCATGCCAAAATTTAAATCCTATCTTATAGGAAGGAAAGGAAATATGCTAAATGACACCATGAAGAGACAATTAGCAAAATCCAAAATAGAAGACATTCAGTAAGACAACTAGCTAGAGTTCATCAGACACTGTTGGAAAACAGAAAAGATGGGGGAACTCTTCTGGATTAAAAGAATCTGAAGAGAAATAACAGCTGAACACAATGAGTGAACTTTGATTCAATTTTGGATTGGGGTGAGGTGGGCTGTAAAGCTATAAATGGCATTTTGGGGACAAACTGAGAAAGTATGAAAATGATATGGAGTTATTCTTATTTCCTGAGGCATGATAATGGTATTGTAGTTATATAGGAGATGCATGCTGAGTGTCATGTCAAAAACAAAAAAAACAAAAACTAGCACGTGTATGTACATGGTGTATAGCATGCAATAAAGCAAATGTGGCCACATTCTGAGTTGGTGGGTTTAGATGATCATGCTGCTCTTTCAACTCTCCTATAATATGTGAACTTTTCAAAATAAAAACTTGAAGAAAATTTAAAAATTGCCCAATTATGCATTTTGGAAGGATAAGCAGACTGCCAAGCAGGAGTTGAATGACTGGATCCTTCTTTAAAAGTGGCTATCGATCATCCTAAGACAAGGTTTCTCAACTTTGACACTACCGATGTTTTAGTCATGAGTGATTATCCTGTGCCTTACTGGGTTCTTAGCAGCATTTTTGGTCTCTATCTCCTACATGCCAGTTGCTCTAGTTATTGCAACTGAAATTGTTTTCAGACATTGTGAAATGTCCCCTAGGGGGCAAAATTGCTCCTAGTTGAGAACCACTGTTTTAAGGGTGTACTTAACTTTTTTGAAAATTCACTATATAAGTATATACCAAGTTTGCTGCCACCTCAAAGTGTCTAAATTTTCCTCTTCAGTTGAAGTAGTCACAATTTTTTTTAGTTCATAAGGCTATTTGACTGCTTAATAAAAGAATTTCCTGTTTTCCATTTTGAGAAATTTCCAAATCTAATCTTCAGAACCATCTAGGTTGTTTTTAAAACCTGTAATCTCAGCTACCCAGGAGGCTGAGGTGAAAGGATCACAAGTTTGAACCTAGCCTAGGCTCTATATATGTGTTTATGTATGTGATTAATATCCAACTCACACCCCCCTGCCTCAAAAAGAATGATTCCAAAAAAATCTCAGATATGTCCATAAAATCTACATTTTAACAGCTTCCTAGATGATTCTGAAGATTAGATGGGTTACTTCGGTTTAGAGGGCCATTCATTAATTTATTTAACAAAATAGTAGATGAAGTCTGTGAAGTAGCTAAGGTAGAGTCCAATAATGTAGGGTCTTGTAGGACACTGTAAAGCCTTAGTATTCTGGTCTGAATGAGATGAGAAGTTTCTGGACTTCTTTTGTCTTTCAAATGAACTTTTCTATTGGAATAATTTTATTTTTATAGAAAAATTGCAAAGATAGTACAGAGAGTTTGTGTATACTCTTTATTCAGCTTCCCCTAATGTTAATACAACCATGGTATATTTGTCAAAACTAAGAAATTTACATTGGTAAAAATGCCATTAACTCCAACTACAGGCTTTCTTCAAACTTTACCAGTTTATCCAGTTGTGTCCTTTTTTTACTGTAATCTAAGAATGTAATCTAAGATCCCACATTGCCTTTAGTTGCTGTGTCTCCTTAATCTCCTCCAATCTGTGATAATTCCTCAGTCTTTCCCTGTTTTTCAAAACCTGAACTTTTAAACAGTTCTGGTCAGCTGTTGTGAAGAGTCCCTCAATTTGGGTAGGTCTGCTATTTTTTCTGGTTAGACTAGAGATACAGGTTTGGGAAGAAAGTGGAGCACCCTTCTGTTCATATCACATCACTGGGGCCCATGATATCAACATCAAGTGGTATCTGCCAGGTTTTTCTTTTGTAAAGTTTCTGTGTTTTCTCCTTTCTTACTGTTTTTTGGAAGTGAGACACTAAGACTATCTCACATTCAAGCACAGGAGCATTAAGCACCACCTCCTAGAGAAAGGAATGTCCACATATATTATTTGGAATTCTTTTAAGAGTTTTGCCCCTTCTCCCGTATTTAATCTTTTATTTCTATCAGTATTGACGTATGGATATGTATTTTATTATTTGGGTTATAATGCAATACTATCAAATTGTTCCAGTGTTAGTCATTTGGGAGCTCTTGGGGGTTGGCTCCTCTGTCCCTTTGACATAGTTCCATCCTTTTGATTTTTGAACAGTTCCCTTTATGGCTCTACAAGATGTTCCAAGTTCATCCTGTATTTTCGAGGACTAATATCAACCATTTGGCCTAGAACTAATATCAACCATGTCGCCAAGGAGCCCTGTTTTTTTTTTTTTTAGAAAAAGAAATCATGAGTTAACATTGATATTTGAAATTAAAAATGTGAGACTACAGATTTTCTTTTATAAAGCTAGCTATGTTTTGTTACAAAATGTGCAGGTCTTCTCTGCTAAGACCTTCTAACCTTGCCAATCAAATATTTTAATGGAAAAATTTTAAACATAAAAAGACAGAATAGTACAGATAGTCCTCCTTTAATGACCTGTTTAATGACTATTTGGATTTACAACCCGCTGCTCAGCTTTCCAATCCATCTTTTTTTTATATATATACAGTTCTGTACATCCTGTTTATAAAGCCTCAATGTCTTTTTTGGTATATGTCTTAGTTACTTTTCTCTCACTACTGAGATGTAATACCTGACACCCACAGTTAAAGACAGAAAGGTTTGTTTGGCTCACAGTTTGTAGAGGTTTCAGCCCATAATCGGCTGGCTCCAAGGCAGCGTGGCATGGCAGACAGGCATCGCAGAGGAGAAACAGTTTGTGGCGGGCAGAAGGTAGCAAAGCAAGCAAGGGACAAGATGAGCCTCTTTCTGTCCGTTATGTTGTATCCAGGCTACTGAGATTAGGGTGATGCCAAACCAATCAGTGGACTGATTTAGTCATCACCCACCCTAATCCCAGCATTGCACCATGAATCACTCACACAAGAATAATTCAGTCTGCTCATAATCCAAAGCACTTGTATATCAAAGGAGAGAGGCACACAGACAGACCAGTTGTGATCATGTGACATTCCACAGACCAAGTTACTTGCAATCTAAGACTGGACTGTAGATCCAAGTGTGGGAGTGTTGCCAATCAGCCTAGGGTTCTTTTACTGGATTTAAGAATTGGGAAAGTACAGCTCTGCTAGCAGTCTTGATGTCACCAGGTAATGCTGGATGGCAACACTGGACACAGCCAGCTGCTGGTCGCTGCCACTGCCAGCTGTCACAGTCCAATGCCAGCTTATGCTGGATACCATAGGTCACTGTCTGATGCCTGATTGTACTGGACACTGTAGGTCAATTCTACCAGATGGTGTATCTCTGCTGCTGGTCTTTGTGGGCTGCTGGTCCCTGGAGCTCTTTGGTGTTTATTCATCTTTCTTTGGAAGATAAAAGTCCTAAGTAGATTTATAGGACTTTTGGAGCCCCCAGTACCTGAGAAATAAATCACAAGCATATTTACAGGAACATGAAAGGAAATCTTTATTGTAAAAGGGCCCAGGCTATAGCACAGAGGGACTAGTACACAGGAGGGAGGCCTAGACTAAAAGGAAGAGTGCCTGGGAATTGTTGCTATCATAACAACTTGCAGGCTGAATGTAAGGGTGAGGACCAGGGAATCTTCTGGAAGCTTCCTGTGAATGTTGCTTATGCAATCCCTCCCTTCCTAATCTTAGCCACTCCAGGGTGTCTTTCTTTCCCCAAAATGCAACAGTACCCACCAGAAGGGGACAAAGTGGGGGAGGGGCATCGTGCTCCCTTTCCCCTCGAGCCCGTAGGGCCCTTCCCTTCTGTCTCAGGTGTAGGCTCTCTAACAGAACCTTTTCCTGTATGCCTCCCCTTAGAATTGTTCCCCTTGCAGTTTGTTCATCTCTTTCCATTTAATGCCCCCTGGTTATTACCTTCCTCTTCCATAGAGCTTGGCAAGAGCCAGAAAACATTCCGTTACCTTCTTCACCCATACCTATCATAATCTATATCCTCTGTTGCTGAAAAACTCATATTTTAATTTGTTCTCTAAGTGTATGACATAGTTGCCTGCTGTACATTCTGCCTTTTCTGCATTTGTTTTTTGTATTAAATCACAAACCTTTGACTATTTCCATGCCCAGTATAGTATGATCTTTTCTTTCTCATTCTTGTGTATCACCTTGTGGCATATGACTACATTCAACTTATTTCATGTTGATTCACCTTAGTATGCTACTTTGTTTTTCTATGCTGTTTGGTATCTGTTTAATGAATTTGGCTTTTTTTCCAAGAAATTTGTAGCTCCTTGAAAGTCAGGACTTCCCTATCACTATCTGAAATAAAAAGCAAATCTATTAGGAAATAGTGATAGTTGAATACATACTAATTCAATTAAAGGGCATATTTTGCTTTTCTAATTTATGACCATGCTTGCCAACAATTTGACACTAATAGTGCCAGTACTGCATTTCAATCCAAGTTTACCAAAGATTAATTCATGACTCTGGACCTCAAATTTTAAGTTACAGGGGGATTTAAAAGTATTCAAAATTAATTTATGGGAAAGGAGGCACAAATCCTTGTATTCATGGGATTTAAAAAATTAAAACTTTATTATCATTTCTAAAATTTAGCTTGAAGACACACTTAAGGAAAATACTTTAAGGTCGGCATTATTTTGATGCTTGGCCTCAATTCCTATTTGGCTTAGCTCCACTGTTGGTGGCCCAGAACTTGGCTGGTAAGTAGAGTTGGAAGCAAATCTGGCTGCCTGGCAAGACCTACTTATGTTGTTGACTTGGATTGCTTTTGATCTTATTTGCTGTTTTGTCAACTATTCTTTGTGCTGGTAAATGAGTGGAGATTCTTGGATTTTTATAGAAGAATAAAACATAGAAAAGCCAGACTATTTACAACACTATTTAAAAATGTGTCACTAGTCCTATAATAACTCTGAAGCTACTCCTCATGGGATGAGACTCTATGTTAATTTGTTTCATGATTAGTGTAGGAAGAAGCAGCTGAGGTAATGTGTCCCATCTGTCTACTTCCCTCTTCCTTTTTTCTCACCCCCAAAGATGATGCTGGAGATTCTTCAGGGGAAAATACAAAGATTAATTTTAGAATATATTTGTACTTCTACTAAGAAAACACTTTTTGGGTTTACTTATAGGTCCTGTGATTGCCTTGGAGTTTAATGGAGATGGTGCTGTAGAAGAATGTCAACTTATTATAAACAAGATATTCAATGGGACCAAGGTACAAGATTTTATTGACTATATCCCAGACTGACCATTTCATTTCCTTTTCCTTACAACCAAATAGTACTTTTGTCTATCTTTTAATCCAGCACATTATGATTTTTAGAGCCTATCATAAATAGTTGGGTACTAAGCTTTGGTTTTTTTCTTTGCTAAACTAAAATTTTAATTGCTTAAAATAAGAAGAAAATAAGAATTCACTCGCCTTCAATAAAACAAGTGTTTTAAAGTAAAAAGTCATAGTGTCTCTTCAAGCCCTTGCATTTTTAAAAATAGTGATATGTTGTAAAATATTTTATTCTTAAGATTATAGTCTTTAGAAAATCCTATTGCCTGTAGTTTGTCTTTATTTGTTTCAGTAATTTATCAGCAAACATTAAATCTGAGGTGGATTTTGAAAGCATTACATGTAGGTGTTTTCTATTGTTGAAGTTACTATATCTAAGAATTTCAGACTTAAATAGCTTAATATAACTTAAAAGGTAAAAATAAAAGGGGATTAAGTGAGTAAATATACAATTAACTATTTTTAGTAAATAACAGGAAATTTTTTTATTTGTCTGGAGTTTGCAAAATTTAAAGTATTTTTATCTTCCATCTCATTTTATCATCACAGTAGTACTAAGGAAAAGGGCAAATATCAGATTTAATGAAAAAGGAAATGTGAGATGAAATGGGTATATGATTCACAAGTTTTAGAGCTAAATAGTTAAGATGTTATCTAATTTAACTTTCTCACTTTACAAGTGTGGAAACTGAGTCTAGGGAAGTTTACTAAATTGCCAGCATCCTGCAGCTAGTTTGTGACAAAGCTAGAATAAAACCCATGTCTCCTCTGTGTATCTGGCTGACATTTTTAGAAGCCACTCTTGAAGAAGTCCTATTGAGGAGTTTTTTTTTTTCAGTAATGTTCAGAACATAGTTCATTTAAAATTAGTAATATATACTGGGAGTGGTGACATACACCTGTAGTCTCGGCTGCTTTTGATGCTAAGGCAGGAGGATCACTTGAGCCCAGGAGGTGAACGCCAGCCTGGGCAACACAGTGAGATCTTATTTCAATGAAAGGGGGTATAGCTCAGTGGTAGAGTACTTGCCTACCATGCGCTAGATCCTGGGTTCGATCCCAAGCACTGCAAAAATAAATAACTAACAAAATAAAATTAGTAAGATATCTTTAGCAGCTTTGAAGAGCATATTAAATTTTGCTTCTCAGCCTACTGAGATTTTTATTAGAAAATAAAAGAAACTAAGAGCTCTTTAAATAAATCTTACTCAGTAGCTTTTGTAATATTGAATGCTCTACATTAAACAGTAAAATTCCAGGTGTCATACAATACAACGGAAGTGTTATATAAAAGCAAAGACATTAATTATATCACAAGTGATTTTTTTTTTTTATTGAGTTTATTGGTACATTTAGGGATACAGTACAGTTACATTCATTGTTGGGATCATGTACCTTTACATGGCAAGTCTTGATTCTCATTTTTTTCCCCACACCTCTGCCCT